TTTATCGCCACGAGCACGGCGACGCGGCTTAAGAGTCATACATTTGCCTCGGAATTTCATCTGAGTAGGTGGCTAGGTTGGTTAAGCGTTAGGATAAGTGACTCGAGGGTCGTGGGTTCGAACCCGGCCTCTGGGATTTTCGATATTTTGTAGATATTTTAAATTGTAACTAAATTGTATAATGATACTGTACTATTTTATAAATAATAATAATAATAATACTTGATTTTACCGTGACCAACGCACCTATATGTTTCTTATATAAATACAATATAATATAACTAACCTACATGTAGTACCTACTTGATATATTACAGTTTTTAGGTTAAATACTGTTTAATACGGTATTAATAAACTAATAGATCTAATAGAACTGATTAAACTCTGGCAGTTAAATAGTACGACTATATGACTGCTCTTTTTGCTTTTTTTTTTTGAAAATTATAGTTTTAGCCCCTTTCGGTCATATCACCCTCCCCGTCGACTACTTATTCGCGTTCCCTGCTATATTTATAGCCACAGACGAGTCCCGGGGTGGAGTAGTGTGTCGGAAACGAGAGTAGGTACCGTGTAGGTATCGCTATATACAGGCATATATACGCATGTATATACATGCGCCTCGAGGTTCGATTTTTTTCGCAAATCTCGCGTTTTGAACGTCCGAAGGTGGCGGACACGGTGGTCCGCTCAAACGCCCTTAAGAGTCATAGATTTGACTCCTAATTTCATCTCGGTAGTTGGCTAGGTAGGTTAGGCGTTACAACGGGTGATCGACGGTCGTGGTTTCGAACGCCGGCGGGGCCGTGTTAAATCAAATTTCTTTTTTTTGCGTTTTTTTTTTCGTCACATTTATCATTTTTAACGAAAGTGTTAATTTTTTTTTTAAATTTGCATTATTATATTATATATATTATTATTATTCGTTTGACGATATTTATTGGGCAAAAAAATAATTATAATTAACATTTACCGACGCACCTACATGTTTCTTTTAATAATACATTATAATATAACTAACCTACGTGTAGTACCTACTTGATATATTACAGTTTTTACGTGATTCCGATTTGGTTAAATACTGCTACAGATTATAAATACTATATTAAAAAATAGTACGACTGTAATATGACTGCTTCATTTGCCGTTTTTTTCGAAAATTCGAGTCCCGGGGTGGAGTAGTGTGTCGGAAACGAGAGTATGTATAGTGTATTCATTTATAGATACCTACGTTTAATAGGATAGTATTACATTTCAATAAAATTTGTTATTCACCAATATAATTATCTATTTGTTAATTTGACTTAATTCTCATAATTAAATAAATATACAAGGTAGGTATATTTTAGAAAATATCCAATCAGAAAATTAGATTTTGTCGACTTATTTGTTATAACCGCGAAAACATAACAATGATTACATTGATTACAGTGAAGCCTAACATAAAACACCTGATAACTGTTCTCTATAATTATCAACAAATACAATTTTATTACCTCCTGTATACTTTTTCATATTTGAACGGCCGTTTCGAGCACTTTTCGCTGTAGGCGGATTGTCCGTTCGGGAATCGACTTTCATCTGAGATGACTGATAGCTAGACATTCAAACTCAGAATCCGAATTTCCGATTTCAACACACATACGAGAACCGGACACACACGCCTGGTGCATGGTCTGCGATCCGACGTAGTCGGATTGCCTACCTGACTAGCTACTTGCATACGAGCGACTTACACCCCCAGTGTCCCCCACTGCATCCGACACTCGGGAATCGACTTTTACCCGAGATGACTGATAGCTAGACACTCAAACCCAGAATCCGAATTTCCGATTTCAACACACACACTCAAGAACCGGCATACACGAATGGGGCATGGTCTGCGATCCGACGTAGTCGGATTGCCTACCTGGCTGGCTGTCTTACGATCGACTTGAATCGCGTGACTTACGACTAGACACTCTTCCGAGTTCAAAAATTACCGCTTAAAAAGTGCTGCCAACACGACAAAACATAATACCCGACGACCCCCCTTCCCCCCGCAGGCTGGATCAAAAAACCCAGCATAGCCGACAAAGATGCACCACCACCCACACAGTCTTTCCGCCGTAGGCGGGATGACAAACACCGGAATCTAGTAATAATTATATTATATTATACACCGCACGTGTATTATATAATAATATGACGTAGGTAGTACCTACCTACCTATCATTGTACGGGCTCCACGCGATATTATTAGGTAGGTATATATGTATTTTGTTATTTGATAATATATTAATAATTTTAGATTCTGAGCGGAGCGAGCAATCTAGTGGTTTTACAATGGTTTTACAATGGTATTTTTTTTTTTTATATCCTGTATGTAAAATATCTACCAGAAGGAGTGCTTCAATTTCTACATAATATATAGTACCTTCTCTTCTAACAAATTGGATCAAGATGGTACTTTAAAGAGGTAATTTTTCGATGATTTTATCAATAGTTATTTAATTCCACGGGAAAAACCACCGAAAAATTACGAAAAACCGCTAAAAATGGGATTTTAATTTCTAACGCTTTGTTTATCACAATAGAAACTAATAAAAAATTATAATATTTTAATATTAATTCAACTTACATGATATAATAAATAATAACAATATAAAATATAAAGATTGACAAACCTTCTCCTCTCAGAATCGTTTTTCTTATACAATATACAATGATATTGTATCATTGAATTCAAGTTTAATACGCAATACATTATACAATGACCCACTTGTAACCTACTGTACAGCAGAGTGACATCCACTTACCCGCTTTTTTTTTTTCATAATACTATGAATGTTTTTACTATTTAATACCTAGGTATATTACAATATTCAATTTTAGTTATACTATTATTAATTTGTTATCCTTATTATTATGCAGTTATAAAATATATGTACCTATTTTATTCTAATAATAATTCGTATACTCCAATTTTTTTTGATAACATATTACATTTTACATACCTTATGGCTTATGGTAAGAGTGATCGTCATTCTTCAGCTGAAACTGAATTTCGGAATGATGATACTTTTTTCATAATATGCTATATACTTTAGAGTTTAGGTAGCTGTCGCAAAAGTTCATCAAATGAGGTTATCGACATCCTATAGTATAAAAACAACTTTAGTGAATATTGTTTGATTCGACGTTAAAATGATTGAAGAGTGCCTTTTCGTCTCTCCTTTGTGAAATCAGCCTATGCAATTACTAAGTATAGTTATAAATACCATATAAGATTTAATAAATAATAATATATTAAGACTTAGTTTATTTGATGATATTATTGTGATTAAAGTAATTTAATTTATTATTATACATTATAGTACCTACAACAGTAGGTTAAATTCATTTTTTCCATATCATAATAACAATATAAATATAATACAAATATCCTAGACTGACAAACCGACTCCGCTCAGAATCGTTTTTCTTATACATAAATAATATATCATTGAATTCAAATTCAATATCATTATTCATTATACAGTTGACCCACTTGTAAATTAGGTACCACAAGTTGTAACCTACTGTATAGCAGAGCGACATCCACTTGCCCACTTTTTAACATGGTTTTGTTTCTTTGCTTCGTAATTGTATGTTTATATACTGTATTACTTGAAGAGTGTTAACAAGAATACAAATATTTGGATGTCCTGAGTGAAAAAATGCATTTAATTTCAACTTTTTGTGGTCCGATTAGTATTAGCTGAAAAATCACTTCAAATATTTGGGGCGGGAGGGCTGTACGAGGTCGTTGTCTATGTAATTATTAAAAATTTTATTGATAGTAATAATTGTCATTATATATTTATATATTTTTGTATATTTATATCTATTGACTCAATTCAAATAGGTATATTAAGATAATATATTATCCCTTAACTACACTTCCCATCGATGAGATCATTGATATCGAGTGGTTGATGACATCATTCGACATCAGTGCGTTATCAAAATGTGTATTATACACATGTTGGTAAATTATTATGACTATAGTATACATAATACTATCACAACAATTTATTATACCAAATTTAACATATTCATGTACAACAATCGGCATACATAGGTAGTATTTATATTATATAAGTACCTACCTATACGCAATGAGAGCACACTAGTAAATTAATTAATACACGTCTTAATAACAACAGTTCATATCGATTTAATACTATCATATAATTAACAATAATAAGCAATAAGACTTCAAAAGTATAACATTGAATTGAGTCCATACTATCTTGTATATGTTGGAGTACGATCATCATGTGAAGGTTATAATACACATTTTGATAATTCACTGATATCGAACACTCGAGATCGATGAGCTCATGGGCGAATGTTTAGTTAAGTAGGTATAGTTATAATAACTATTGTCTATTGACTATTACACGGGAAGGAATATGTTCCGATTTCTCTATCGCCGGCCGAATGCAAACATCATAAAAATTATGAAACGTGTCTATAAAAGTATATTATATAATCCGTATTGTTACTTTTAATTGGCATAAATAAATAAATGATGACATGAATGACATGACGTGAAGAGTTTTATGATATTTTGTAGTATACAATAGGTAGTAGGTATATTATGTTTTATCGCTCATCCACTTGCAGTAGGTATATAATAACCATTAACCATCGATTGAACATTAGAATAGAAATAAATTTCTGTCTAGCGACACAGTATTGTTTAGGTATACCTAGGTACTGCTGTTTTCTTAGATATCCATTTGTTCAACATAATATTATTCAAAGGTTTTTTTTGTTGTAAGTATTTTGAAATATATCTTGTATTCTGTTTTTTTTTTTTGTTTTCGCTAACCACATAGGTACAAATATTACCTTTGAGTATCAGACACTTGTTACTTTACAGTAATTCTATTAAATATAAACATCCAATTGATTCGACTAACGAAAAATATAAAAGCAATTTTAAAATATTAATTTAAAGAATTTTTTCAGACAAAATGGCTGTGTATAAGCTCACGTACTTAAATCTTCCTGCACTGGCAGAACCTATCAGGTTTCTCTTGTCTTATTTGGAAATCGATTTTGAAGACATTCGGTACGAACGTGAAGAATGGCCATCAGTCAAACCCAGTAAGTCATCGAACAGTTTTAAATAAATACATACATTTTATTTATTTATATCATTATAATAAACTATTTAATTAATGCACACATAAATTAGCTAAAGAAACTTACTATAAAAAATTCAATTTTATTTAAAAATAGTTTAGTAGGTATTTATTTTATCTTTATTATAAATCTAATATTGTATGAAAAACACTTTAAATATAGCGAAAACAACTCAATAACCAAAACTATTTCGTTAAAACTGTGTTGCCAAATTATAAGTATTAAAAAATTCATTCAAGTATTATTATTATTATTATTATTATTGTTTATTTGTCTGAAATGAAAATGGGCCCCACTTAACAGGTTCGTGGAGGGGCCCATGAGTTCACAATTTACGATGATATGCATTTATATTAATTTAAGTATTTAAAATATAAGTCTTAATTTATATTATACATATTAATACAATAGTACAGTATACATTTTTACTGTTGTAGAATTTATTAGACTTTAATATTAAATAAAACTTACAATGTAGCTGGTATCTAACAATAATTATTAATATAAGGAGACTTATGTAATACAATATATTATATAGTAAAATACAATAAATTATGATAAATTACGATAATGAAGAGCCTAGATTAAAGGTATAAAACATTTAAAATGTTATATATTGTTCATTATGCAGCTAATTAGTTGTTTTCTATTTTAGTTTTCTTAATTTCTAGTTGATTGGCTATGATTTTGAAAGCATATAGATTATTTTTCTAAGTTTTATTGTTGTTTGTTTTATATGGTCATATCATTTAAGGTTGTGACTTGTGACACATTTCATTGACTAAATATTTACAAGGTTTTCATGCAGTTTGACACGTACCTACATGATTTTAGATTAAAGCATTCGTTTTTGTGAATACACATACTGGATACAGATGGTTGGTTAGAATTAGTTATACAGTGTGGAAATATGTAAATTTTATCTAAATTGATGAATATATTATGTATTAAATGATATTCAATAAGTATAAATCATAAAATGTTACATTGAGTATAATCAAACATTTTTTTTCTAATCACAATAAATATTCAGTAACTATAATCTATACCACTGTGATCAAATACTACCAACCATTTTAAATACATTTTTTACTATCGACTCCATATAATTATTTATATTATAAATAAATATTAATTGTTTATGTCCTATGTTAACAAATCATAGACCTATATAATACAGTGTACCTATTTATATGTTTAACAATGACCATACTGTAAAATTTAAATTAATTATTTGTTTTAGCTATGCCATTTGGTAAAATCCCAGTTTTAGAAATTGATGGTAAAGTATTGAATCAATCAACAGCCTTATGTCGTTATTTATCGAAAAAAGCTGGATTAGCGGGTAGCGATGATTGGGAATCTTTACTGATCGATATCACCCTTGATAACTTTAATGATTTCCGAGAAGGTAAAATATAAAAATAATTGTTTTGACTTTTAAGAATTATATGTAAAATTATATTCGTTTAATATTTTTAAAGCTTTTCGAACGCATATAATTTTTGTAAGTGAAGAATCTAAAGCTGAAAAATATGTGACTCTAATAAATGAAATTATTCCGTTGTATATGAATAAATTTGAAAACATTGTGAGTGAAAATGACGGATACTTTGTAAATGGAAAGGTAATGTTATAATTGAAATCTAAAATAATCTAATCTTAAGTAAAGAATTTATTGATTGAGTATTGGAGTTGACTTTGTTGAATACATTTTTAAGACATATAACGAGACCTATTACATAACATATTGGTCACTAAAGTCTCTAAAAAAAAAAAAAATAAATACAGACTTAAAAATGGTAAAACTTATTGAATCCAATGATATATTAGGTAGGTATGATATTATAAAATATATTTAATAACACATCATTACATAATTATGCTCTATCTGTATGTACAACGTTATATGTTTCTGATGGCAAAGTATTAAAGTATTTTAATAAAATAAATAATGATCAATACCTAGGCTAGAATATACAACTAATTGAATGTGATGAACATTATAGAGTTATATTATATTATGCTTGATATTTGTACTAATCGACAATCGACATGATTTTAAGAACACATCTTACTATTTTTATTATTTTATTAATTTATTCGTTTAGGTTCATACAAAACCATAAGCTAAACTTAAGACATTGTTCTGGGGGGAGGGGGGGAATTATATCAGCAGCACTGACCCTGGTAATTTATATTTTAAACTAAAATATGATTTAAAAACTGGGGGGCAAGCATCCCCCTAATTGTGCCTTTGTGCAATACTAGCTGTACAACCCAAAATTGTAGAGGAAAAAATTAATAAATATCAAATACAACAATATTAATGGTGTACCTATGTCGGTTTTAGTGTACCTATACCTACGGCCAAAACGCCAATCGGCAGCGAAGGACATCCCTTTTTGAACTAATAAAATTCGACAGATATGGGAAAGGCAACTATAGTAAATGGGATATTGTGCCAGATATTATATGCAATACAATACATGTATTTTTGAACGTGGTTCAAGTTATTTTCTAAGCTTCTCCAAAGAGATTGAAAAAGGGGTGGTGTTTTGGATAAATAAATAATTATTTGATTGTTGTGAATGTTAACGAAATTCATACGTGATCCAACCTTTGGAAACCTAAAGTGGTTGAAAAAGTAGGTAGAAATATCCTCAAGAATCTATTGGTATACTATAGGTAAATACTTTCATTAAAATCGGTCCAGTATAGTTTCTGAAACTATAAGTGTTAGTAAAAAACTCATTTCATATTTACACATACATAATAATAAATAGAATTCAATTTAATTTTTGTATAATTCTATTTTGTGACAGTGTATTTTTTTTTTAATTTGTAATTGTTTTCACCAGTATTAATTTTATTTATTTATTTTTTTTTTCATTTAGTTGTCCTGCGCTGATATATACTTTGCAGCAATAATAGATTTTTTCAGCTATTTGGGAAAAGTGGACTTACTAGAAAACCGTCCAAAATTACAAGCCCTTAAAAAGAAAATATATGAAATACCTCAAATTAAATCATGGATCGCCAAACGACCAGCATTCTCTTATGCTTGGTCAAATGATAACTAATTTTGGGATTACTGCTAAATTCAGTATGACCCATTGACCCTGGTAAGATTGATTTTACTCAAGTTACTTATGATATTATACCAGAGGAAAAATTAATGATTTTATTATTTTTCTTCCTTTCCCAGGTAATTCAACTTTCAAGATGCATACTGGTACCTACTATATACATAGTAAAATAGTACGTCATACTATACTATGCCTTTGTAATACGATTAATGTTTTTTAAATTTGTTTATCATTGATATGTATTTTATTTTATTCTTCTTCTTCGGCTGATTGTTCACTATATTAGAGCGGTACAAGTTAATAAAGTTCAACGTTTTAATAATTAATGTTTGTTATAGATACCTATTAGACTATAATACCTATAAGGTATGTCAAATCGAAATAATAACGATATTTTATCAAATATTAAGTTATACCTATCTATAATACTGTACAGATTATACTTTATACAATAAAAATCGTGCACCATGTATTTCTTGTACGTATTGTATTACTACTAAGAGTATAATCGGAATTTTCCTTATTTCAAATCCTGCCAGGTTTAAGTCCAAGATTAATTAATTTATGTTCGATACAGAAAATGACTAGATATGTTATTTTTATATAAGTGTTTATCTTGTGTCTATATGTAACTATAGTAGACACATAATGTAAAGATCAAAAACCTAAGAAGTAAAATTATACAATTAATTTACATCAAATGTGTGTGTGTTTTTTTGGGTCTAGTGTCTAGCATTATGTTTTGATGCAGAATATTTGATCTAATCCACAAATGTTATCTATTTAATGCTTTGAGTTGTAAATTAGTAAAGTTTTAGTAGTTTTCTGAATGATATATTTAAATACAGAATAGGTACTCATTAAAATAGATATTATTACGCAGCACCAGAAAATCGATTTTTGAAATTTTGAAAGGAGATATGGTAGATAATTGAAATTGCCAACAAATACTACTCTAACTTTTGTATGAAACGCCAATGCCTAAAAAACATGTTTTTAAAAAAATGTGCAGTTAAAAAAAAAACTAAAAGTATTATTATGTTTGCTTTTATAAAGATTTTAAAAGTTGCTTGGTGCCTAAATTAGTTTTTAATTTTTAATACATTTTTTAAAACATTCGTACAACTAAAGCATTATTAATTTTACATTAGTATAATATTGTTTGTTATCATAATATAGGTTTAAATTTAATTTAATTAACAAATCGGTTCAGCTACACATACTACGAAAATCTATATTCACCTAAGAGATACAACAAAAACGACAATACCAATAATAATAATAAAAATAATATTAACAACAATAATATACAATTTAAATAAACAATAAAAATGGATAAAGGACAATTCGATGATGAGCTGGCGTACAGATGGATCCGCTATAGGACAGGTGGTCCCTATAAGCCATACGCTAATACGCGTCATACGCATAATAATAATATATAAGTCATATTATTATTATTATTATTGTTATTATATTTTTTATTATTATATTGTCCTCGAGGATTCTATGTTTGCGTTATTACACTATACAAAGTCCTTACTAAATCCAATACAATCTGTACTAACGGGGTGTCAAAGTTATCAGAGCAATAGCAGCACAAGCATCGCCGACTGCAGCTGCAACAATATAGCCATAATCACGGATGGGTGGACTGCCAATTACCTTTGGTATCATCCTGGAGACTATTTGATATTATAATGGATATTATATAGGTATAGGTATAGGGCATTAGGATATTTGTTTACCTGCATGCGATTGGGAGAACGATTGCAAGGTACAAACTTAGGTAAGTACTTATATTTTTCATTAAAAATGAATACGAAATTTAGCCGTATACACCATATTAATTATATCACCTTAGAGCAAAAGTTATAAAACATTTTTTTACTATCTTACTTTAAAAATTTTCATTAATTTTGGATTGACGTTACCCAAGAGACCCCACTAGGAGGTTAGCTCTTAACAGTCTTAATTTTATCCCAAAAACGTGCTTGTCATTTTAATTTAAAAAAAAAATAATATGTTGATCATCATGTATTATATATATTAATAAATCTTTAAAACTTCTCTATTTTCGTCTTGAGCTTAATTTTTGCAACTTAGTTTATAACAGTAGGTGTCTTGTCTTGTCTATGTGTACCTAGACTTTATCTGATTTTCTATTTAAATGGTCATGGTCATGTATCCAAATTTAGAAATGTATTCTTTGTTTCCAAACGTGTTGGATTTTGTGTCAATTTGTCCTAATCACCCGGCATATAAACGATTGAACTATATGGACATATTATTTTCATATAGATATTATAATAATATATTATGGAGTATCAGAACGGAATCTATATAATAAATACATTTTGCAAAAATCCCTAATCGACATCAGAATACTAACCCATTTAATAGGTAACCATTTTCGATTATCACACTGGCATACAGTGACTTGGTTTATGAAATAAAAAATATATTATCAAATTACCCCGCGTATGTTGTGTATCAATCGGGAACGGCCGCGTTGTCCATACATTCTACATAATATTATTATCATCTACAATATGACTATGAACTATGAAGTAACAACAACGATAAAGTCCATGCACTTTTGTGTATGTGTGTGTGTGTGTGTGTGCGTGCTTGTAGTGTAATAAGTAATAACCATCGCGGCAAATACATCAAACGGATTCGGTCGTCCTTGGGCCTTTGATATCGATAAACATTCACGGGAAGCAATAAAAATCCAATGTTTTCGTTTTCGACGGAAAACATAAACACGTCGATAATGAGATTTTTTCGCCTCCTTCAAAGGGTCCACGCAGCGGTCCTAATGCATACAAATACATCCTTACACACATAAATATAAACGAACACACGCAAACACACGTATTACACGTTATATATATATGTATTATAAGACGATATAATGCTAAGTTTTTGTGTAGTGGCGGCGACGGTTCACACACCGGTCCAAAAACAACATTGTTAAAATATAACGCGAGGCCGCACACACGCGTATATATTAATATAATATAATATAAATTATAATATATGTATATAATGCATGTGTATATACGATCGGACAGAGGAGATAGAATATAATAATATGTTTGAGAGCGTCGTGTTCGCGCGGGGCGGCGGAGTGTATACAGACATGTGGATAGTCGGTCTCTCCGTGTCTCGGGATGTTTATGTTTTTAAGTTGTCCGAAAACAGATTGATACATATGGTGTAAACGATTTTAAACACGGTCGGTTCGTATTAATAATAATAATAATAATATATATATTATATAACGTGAGGGCGAGCATCACACGTATGTAGTATAGTTTACGTTTTCGGCGGGGCGGCCCGACATAAAAAAGAATTTTTATTTTCCATCAATATTATTATTACTATTATTATCATTTTCGCCTAAACAGCGTCGACAGCCCGTTAAATGTACAATAACAAACCGACCGTTTTCACGTGGGCTTACGATTATTATTATTGTTGTACGCAACACTTGTGTGCATAGTATACGTACCTACCTAAATTGTATAATATTATACTTATGTATGCTCACGGTGGATATTATTATTATTTATACGACGAGGCGAAGTGTGCGAGTCGAGATCGGAATTTTACCTTGTATAGGATATGTTTATGGGTATTAATACTATCACTTACATTTTATTTTCGTTTGAAAAAAATTTATACTCGACAAACTTTTTTAAAGATTTTTTTAGCAGTTTTATATTTTAAGGTTATGTTTATGTTTAAATTATTTGTCTTTTCACTGGAAAAAAATCAACTTAAATTTAAACTATCTACAGCCAATAAAAATAAAGGTTACTTAATGATATTTAATAATATTTATTTAGTTATTTAATAATAGTATACATAATATTATACTCTATTATATTATCTTATGTATTCAAATAAAGTATAGGTGCCATAAATGATCATAACTATTAACTATTAAGATCTTCGAGGGGCTAAACATATTACACGAAATTTTAGTAAATTTTCCGGTGCAATTTGAAGATGTTTTTATTTCACGCAGTGTGAAACGATCAGACTACATTATTGTATTTTATTGTTTCTATAGAATCTAGAAGTCTATAGAATAGTAAAGCCGTATATATATGAAGTAGGTGCAATATGTAGAGAAATGGAATAAAAAAATACCAAAACGTTAAACGGCTTATTTTTACCATCGTTCGTTGTCGCTTTTGGGACGTAGTTCGTGCAATAATTATTACTTAGGAAACTATTCAATTGACCGCATTATTTTATTTTATTATATTATACGATATTATATTATTTATTAACAAACAAGAATAATAATCGTCGTAATTACACTACTATATTTTCTAGTATATATAATATAATAATAATATACCAACTACAACTGTGACGATACGCGTATTGTACTATTGTTAACTCACTACACAAAACTGTATATATAACATACTGCCGTTGTCGAATATAATATACTCAACACATGCCGGAGTTACTGAGCATGTATTATACATAATATAATAATGATATATTAAAGGCAACCACTAGGGCATTTCGGGACGGACCGCCGCGGCGCGGGTTAATTGTTTTATTATTTTTCTACGATAATGATATCATAAACATAATATAGGTATATTGTATTATATCCCCCAAAGTCCTCGACGTTTACACACTGCGGCGGCGGCATCACATTTCCAATGGTCGTGATTCGATCAGAACCTACAAAGTGTGTAACGCGTAAAGAAATAAAAGGGAATGAAAAAAAAAATTATTTTACGAGAGGAGAACAGTTGGTCGAGTGGTTTTCGGGCGTGCGCTTATATATTATAATGTTATTAGGAGAGGTTCGGGGGAGTTTTTTGCGGGCTCGGAAAGACATCGACTAGTGCCACTTCAAATCTTTGCAAACAACTGTCACTATATTATTATTATTATTATTATTATTATTATTATTATCATCATCAGCATCATCGGGAACATAATCGTCGTCGACTCTATTC